TGCCTAATTTCCTCCTTGACAATTTGCTGGGCAATGTCACTTCCTAAATGCTGAATCTTTGATGGGCTTCCATTATCCAAAAAACTGAACTTGTGGTTTGTGGCCAAATGCATAGCCGTATTACTAAGTTCCACCTATTTTTAGGAAAATGGCAAGGGGTGTCTCTCCTTCACAACTCATTAATAGTCTAATTAGGAATTTCCAACACTATTGAAGAGTGTTTGTATAATAAATAATTGATTCTGGGAAAGAATGGCAAGGTAGTCTTGAGCTATTGGTTGTTTAGAGGAATTTGACAAATTTGATTGAACAATGGCTTTAAAAGAGAGTAAGAGAGTTATAAGCTGAAGCCATTCACTTTGATTTGATATATTAATTTTGATCTCTTCTAAGAAGAAAAATACAACTTTGACACTATGATTTGGAGCCATTTCTATTGTTATGGGGCTTAAATAGTCAATTCACAAGTTTGTGTAATACAAGCAATGCCCATTTCCATCTTATTAATATTCTTGGAAATATTTATTGTTCTTGTTCCATGTTAACTTTTCCTAGTTTTGGAAGAGTGTATCTTATCTTTGATTTTCTTTCAGATCAAAATTTCTGTATGATTTTTGTGGTCCCCTCTCCCTTGGAATTGGAAGCAATCAAATTTCCAAGAAGAGTAGCTGTTCCCCTAATGCTGAAGTTGCCCTACTTATATGAACAAATACTTATATGAACAAAGGGATAGGAATGACATATAAGCAAATAATGCTCTTGGAGTCGTGCTTGGTGCGAACAATATAGACATGGATAATGATGTACAAAATTGACCTTAAAACTATTTTATTGTGAAATATCTTTATAGGTTATATGTAAATAGTGAAGAATATGCTTTGAAACATTTGATGCGTCTATTTAAAGAATAAAAAACTCTACTATGAGATTTTTTTACTTTTTGACAAAGATAGTGTTAATATAGTTAGATTACCACTAAAAGAGTTTATCACTATATCAATTTCAACCCCTACCTCCCCTTCAAAACACCTTAATGTGTAGCTGCTAGACCATTGGGTCAAACCATAAAGGATTATATATTTATAACCAAGATATATATATGCATTGAAGTAGGCAATCCGGTTTTCCTCCTTTCATATTATTTCTGTTTAATTATTTGAAGCTATTATTGTGGGATCCACTTTTTGAGAAATATGAGTTGAATAAATAATACAACTTTTTTTTAGTGGAATATCTTTTATAGATATGTTGATACGTTATATATATATATATATATTTTAAATTGCAAGATATGGCACTGTCGAGTTTTTTTTTTTAATATTTAAAAAAAAAAAATTAGAGAATTGACTTACTTTTCAAACTATTTGGGAAATTAACTTGTTTTTTGAAATCGCATTTTCAAAATGTGATTTTGAAATTAAAAATGCAATTTCAAAAAGTGAAGTCCATTTTATCATAAATTGCATTTTTAACATGCGATTTTAAGGTGAAATTGTATTTTCAAAATATGGTTTTAAAAAGCAGGTTAGTTTTCTAAATAGTTTGAAAAGTTGGTCAATTTTCTAAATTGTTTTTTTTTAAGAATATAGCTTGAAAAGTTGGTCAATTTTTTGAATTGTTTTTTGTTTAGGAATATTTAAAAAAAAAAAACAAAAAAAACTCGACATTATCCCATTTCATTCCAATTGAATTAGAATTATGTCATGTGACTCAAAACAATTGTATGGCAGTCTCGAGGAAAAGAAAAAAGTTTCAATATTTATCCTCTATTTTGATAGAGGAATTTTTTTTTTTTTGCTAAAAATATTTTTCAACAATTGTCTTTTTGTGGTTTTATCTATTTAGTTACAATCCTAGAAAAAATGCAATAGTGGTAGTGGTTGTGGTGAAAGTGATGGTGGTGATGATATGGGTGAGGGTAGTGGTGGTAACACTGGTACAATTCTAATTTGAATAATATTTTTTTACATTTAAAAATTGAGTTATATATATTATGGCTTTTTGTTACCAATTTATATTGCCGATATATGCATCATTAATTTTTTAATAATTATCTCTAAATATTAAAATCAATCATAAGTATTCATGACAGTAAAAGATACAAACAATGATAAAAAAAATTAGTGACATATTTCTCTTAGAAATGAAAATCAGCTCATTTGTCTTTGACTACGGAAAACATTATTGGTTGATTTATAATTTTTGTTATATCAAATGTCAAAAAATGTGAAAAATATTTTGGCCAAATACAAACAAAGCATTCTAGTTTGAGGTGGACGGTGGAACAATCTCAAATGTTTTTCATCCAAATAATATGGGATACAAATAATGTCAGTGTAACTTTATTTAACTCAATATTCAAAAAATCATATTCACGGGTTTCAACTGAAAAAAGAAAACATTATTGGTTGATTTATAATTTTTGTTATATCAAATGTCAAAAAATGTGAAAAATATTTTGGCCAAACACAAACAAAGCATTCTAGTTTGGGGTGGACGATGGAAACAATCTCAAATGTTTTTCATCCAACCAATATGGGATACAAATAATGTCAGTGTAACTTTATTTAATCCAATATCCAAAAAATCATATTCACGGGTTTCAACTGAAAAAAGAATCCAAAAAATGTCTCAACTGAAACAAAATAAATCTGTCTGATTAATACGTTTGATTGCACAATCAAACATATACACTTAAGGACGAACATGGAGCTGATTAAAGTGTTTGATGCATCATTAAGTAGTATGCTCATTGCTACTGTTTGTCTCCTTGTCAAGGTTAGTTGTTGGACTTTCATATGACTCACAGTTGGCAGCTTTCTATCAATATAGTTATTAGGAAACTCTAGTGGTTTGGTTACTTGGCAATTTTTGTCTAGCTAGCTGAAACAACTCTTAGATTGGGATGTGTCACATTATCATAATTATTATTAATTTTTTTTTATTTTTATTTTTTGTGTTGAGAAAATAGTATACAAACATAATTTTTATACAAAAAAAAGTCCATATACATAATGAGGAAATATAAAAAAAAAAATGGGAAATATAAAAAATAATTGCAAATTCATGAATTCAGTGCACAAATCACTTCATGAGTTTGCAATTATTTTTCCAACTTCCCACTTTTTGACAATCCCGGTAATAGTACTTTTGAAATTATGAGCAGAATGGTGGGTCGTTTTGATTTAAAATGAAAGCACCACAAAAGGCCATATCTTTTTTGTGTTAAAATTTTACACAAGAATTATGCTTGTATGACATTATTCTAATTTTTCATTTTGATCAATAGTAGTAGCGAATCCCCTGACTCCATTCAATTTGAGATGATTTGCTCCGTTGAGCTATGATGTGATCATTTTGGCGTCACTTAATCTTCTCTACAAACATGATCTGAGGTATTGTTATTTCTTCACTCTTTATTTCTTTCTTTTGTTTTTTTTAAAACATTTTCTTGTTTATTTCTATTTTTGGGAGGGGGTTTGCACTCTGACTCTTATTCTTTATTTCTTTCTCTTACTCCTTGGTTTTTATTGCTTACTTATTAGGCTTTGTTCCAAATTAGGCCTCATTTCCGTTGACAATTTGCTAGGCGTCCTGGGGTCTAAACTGTTAAATTTTGATGAGTATCCAAAACTGAACTTGTTTCCAAATGCATAGCCCATATACTTCAGGCCACCTATTTTTTAGGAAAATGGTAAGGGGTGTCCATCACAGCTCATCAATAGTCTAATTGGAACCAACACTATTGAAGAGTGTTTGTATAATAAATAATCGATTCTGGGAAAGAATGGCAAGGTAGTCACGAGCTATTGGTTGTTTAGAGGAATTTGACAAATTTGATTGAACAATGGCTTTAAAAGAGAGTAAGAGAGTTCTATCCAAATGCAAGAAACATCTAAAGCTGAAGCCATTCACTTTGATTTGATATATTAATTTTGATTTCTTCTAAGAAGAAAGATACAACTTTGACACTATGATTTGGAGCCATTCTTAGTGTTATGGAGCTTAAATAATCAATCCACAAGTTTGCGTAATACAAACACTGCCCATTTCCATCTTATTAATATTCTTGGAAATATTTCTTGTTCTTGTTCCACGTTAACTTTCCTACTTTTGGAAGAGTGACGATCATATTCTAATCCAAATGTATCTTATCTCTGATTTTCTTTTAGATCAAAATTTCTGTATGATTTTTGTGGTCGTCTCCGTTGGAATTGGATCAAACCCTAAAGTCGTATGGGATTATATATTTATAACCAAGATATATATATGCATTGAAGTAGCAATCATGTTTTCCTCCTTTCATATTAATTCTGTTTAATTATTTGAAGCTATTATTGAGGGATCCACTTTTTGAGAAATATGAGTTCAATAAATAATACGACTTTTTTTTAGTGGAATATCTTATATATATATGTTGATACGTTATTTTTATTTTTAAATTGCAAGATATTACATTGTCCCATTTCATTCCTATTGAATTAGAATTATTTCATGCAACTCAAAACAATTGTATGGCAGTCTGGAGGAAAAGAAAAAGTTCCAATATTTATCCTCTATTTTGATAGAGGATTTATCTTTTCTTTTCTTTTTTTTTTTTGGCTAAAAATATTTTTCAAAAATTGTCTTTTTGTGGTTTTATCTATTTAGTTACAATCCTAGAAAAAATGCAATAGTGGTCCGGTGAAAGTGATGGTGGTGATGATATGAGTGTGGGTGTAGTGGTGGTAACACTGGTACAATTCTAATTTGAAAAATATTTTACATTCAAAAATTGAGGGTTGTATATATCATGGCTTTTTGTTATGCATCATTAATTTCTTAATAATTATCTCTAAATATTTAAGTCAATCAAAAGTATCCATGATAGTAAAGGATACAAACAATGATAAAAAATCAGTGAAATATTTCTCTTAGAAAATGAAAATCAGCTCATTTGTCTTTAACTATGGAAAACATTATTGATTGATTTATAAATTTTGCTATATCAAATGTCAAAAAGTGTGAAAAATATTTTGGCCAAAAACAAACAAAGCATCTAGTTTGGGGTGGACAATGGAAACAATCTCAAATGTTTTTCATCCAACCAATTTGGGATACAAAATAATGTGTCAGTGTAACTTTATTTAATCCAATATCCAAAAAATCGTATTCACAGGTTTCAACTGAAAAAAGAATCCAAAAAATGTCTCAACTGAAACAAAATAAATCTCTCTTTGATTAATACGTTTGATTGCACAATCAAACATATACATTTAAGGACGAACATGGAGCTGATTAAAAGTGTCTGATGAACCATTAAGTTGTATGCTCATTGCTATTGTTTGTTTCCTTGTCAAGGTTAGTTGTTGGGAAACTTTCATATAACTCACATTTTCTTTTTTTTGAAATTTTAGTCATTAAACTTAATGAAAAAATATATTTTAAGCTATGAAGCATGGGTACTTCAACAACTATGCTCTACTCGTATTGGGTACTTATCGGCTTATGATATTTTGTATTATACTTCTGCATACGTATCGGGTATACGAAATATGTACCCAATATTTTTCTTATTAATTTTTGATATACTCAAACTTGTACTTAATATATACTCAAGTCATACTGTACCTGTCAAAATAATATTTTCTTATACTACAGAGATAAAATTCCTTTCATTGGACTTCTTTTTTATTTTTAGTTTTCTACTTAGCATGATTTTAAAATTAAGTTATGGTTTGTAAGTTATTTAATATAGAGTAAATTGTTGAAAAGTCCAAGGTAAGGAATGTATAACGTTATTAGGTTCAGTGAATATTTTTTTGTTAGTAAGAGGTTCACCCTTTATGAAATAGTTTGGTGAGAAGTCCTTTTGATGTTTTTGGAGAGTGTTTGTATAATAAATAATCGATTCTGGAAAAGAATGGTGAGGTAGTCATGAGCTATTGGTTGTTTAG